TTGACGTTCCTTGGCCTAAGGGTTCTTTAGTTATCACTCGGAAACCATTTGGTCTTTGAACCGACGGACCGACCGACAGACAGACAAATGCAAAGCAATATACCCCCTCTTCTTTGAAGTGGGGACATAAAAAAGATTATTTTTGAAAAAGACTAAAGTATAAACGTACAATATCACTTGAATAGTTTAATAAGTAGCAAATAAAAATAAATCTAAATAAATAAATTTCTCATTTCTTGCACTTGATGAATTTCTCAAGACAGAAAACTATAATTGTGACATATGTAACCCATTACTGCATGAGCATTTTGTAATGTCTGTTTTCATTGAAATGTCTGCCGTTACAACTTCAAATTGCTATAAAACTATAAAATCTGCTTCAAAACTAATCAAAGTTGGCACAGATGTTGACTGGACAACAATATGCTCAGTCTCAAATTTCCTGTTACTATGGCAACGAGGGAACATCTCAAAATTGCCAAAAATCACTATTTTGCGTTGATTTTTTCCATCATAATTGATTTTAAATTTCTGCAACTTCTCAGAGGATTGACATAAAGACAAAGGCTTTTTAGCGTTGGTCACACGTTACCTTATGATCAACCTGGGGTCATTTTTACTTTTTTTTAGCCTCTCACAGGTCCAATTTTTTTTTTTGGCGATGAGGGGGACTGCCGCCCCTTCAAACCACCGAACAGAAGGCAACCCCCTGATGTATCTTTTGGATAGGGGACGGCGCCGACAAAATGGTCACTTTTTTAACAACATTTCTCAAACAAAAACAAGTGTTGGGTGCCTAAATAAGGCATTTTTTACCATTTGAGACAAGGGGGGATGAAAAAGGCGTTAAAGGCGTGTACCGGTTTATCGGGTAATGGGTTAAGAGCCAAAGCCAATCATCTACATTTCTGGATTTATAATCCGTTATTATTTTTTAAATCAAATATTAAATAGCAAGTTATCTGGTAATATTGATCACTCGATTGGAATGAAAACCAAAGTATAAAGGAACATTGCAATTCGGTTTGATTAAGTCTGGTTATAAGAAAAATCACTTCAACCCATACAATCTACGTCAGTGATAAATATTCCTAAACACCAAAGGTATTGGTATCAAAGATGCAAAAATTTATTGATTAATCGAGACTAACCTTTGGAAATGGGAAGGCGAAGGTTGATCATAATTTTATCCGACACAAAACTCCCTTAGGGCTCACACAGATTACGGACGCAGCTAGCAGCGACTAGGGTTTATTCATATTTTAAAGACATAATGTCACAATATTGATAAGAAATTGAAAAGTACGGGATGGCTGTGGGTGGGTGTGTGAGCCCTAAGGGAGTTTTGTGACGGATAAAATTATGATCAACCTTCGCCTTCCCTTTTCCAAAGGTAAGTCTCGATTTATCAACTCCCTTATGGGCCCCACAGATAATTCAGAGTATATTTCTTGTCATATATTGTGAACAAAAAATAATATAATGCATACTTTTCTGGAATATAAATTATTGTTTCTCGGTAGTAATATATTTATGACAATCGAAAATATATAACAACATTTTTGAATATGATAATATAATGCTCATAAGTCTATTGGTTAATCTGCACAGTAGCTCTCTAGAACATTGTTCTGAAATGTATTTGCCTCCCTGTTTACCAATGGCTTATTATAAAATTTTGCAAATACTGATACATTACTCCATCCTGCATATTTTATTTTATTTGTCAATATCATTCCTTTTCGAAATGCACAGGAAGACGAAGCAGCTCTAGTACTATGAAGTTTCAATTGATTTGGAATGCCTGCTCTAAGCATTGTCAGTTTTATCCACAGTGACAAGAGTTTGTTTTGAAACCGATTTATAAGGTGGAATCGTAGATATCAATAATCTCTCATTATTTCTTAACGTTTTTGTACGTTCTATGTATCGTCTGATAGATTCAACGATGCATAATTTGTTATTTTTGTACATTTGAAGTTTCATTGGTTCAATATGTACACCTGGTCGAGTTTGTTTTATAACTTGAGAAACGTTGGTAACAATACAGTTTTCAGTGAAGCAAATATCACTCAAATTGATAACATGTATAGTTTGAGAGCGTTGAGCAGTTAAAAATAAAAATAACATACACAATTTACAGGTTAAAGCCATTAAAAAAGAGGTGTCTAATTTTTCTAAGTATTCTAATACCGGTCGTACATCCCATGTTGGTTTATATCTCGGTAATGATGGTCTTAAATTAAATAATCCTTTCATGAATCTGCTTATCATCGTGTCGTTATGAATATTTATTTTCCCCGTTATTTTTACAAAAGTGCTAATTGCTGAACGAGCAGTATTAATAGCCGTGTAACTTAATCCTCGTTGATACAAATCGGTTAGAGATTTGTACAACTATACTGTAAGCGGGTGAAAGGGATTTGCTTGTTTCTTGCAATAAGATAACCATTGCGTAATATACGTGTTATATTGCTTACGTGTGCTGGCTCTCAAGGAGTTAATAATAAGTTCTTGAGCGTATTCAGGTAGTCCCTGTTTTCGTAAGATTTTCGGATATATTGAAAGCAATCAACCTTGTTTTTGTGAGAGGATACTATTTTCCTTTTTTGTCTTCTAATTATAGGACTTTTTGTGGCTTCGGTAGTAAATAACACGGACCTTTGATCAGCGATATAAGAGTTCGCAACCATGTTTGAGATGGCCATACTGGAGCTAATATTATCGCATGTGTCGAATCTTCTTCTATTGTTTCTAATTTTTTCCCCAGTAAGCTGAAAGGAGCAAAAATATATAATTAATGATCACACCATTTAAATGAAAAAGCATCTGTAGCCCAAGCATCAGGGTCAGGATATCTAGAAACGTACTTTTTAATTTTTGCGTTTAGTTTAGAAGCGAATAGATCTATACTCATATTCGGAAAATATTTAAATAATTCATTAAAAAGATCTTGATCTATTGACCACTCTGTGCCATCATTGCCCGATCTACTCAGTTTATCAGCATGTACATTTGAAACTCCTGCGATATGACAAGCCGAGATATTAATTTGTTTATGAATGCACTAATACCACAGACGTCTAGCTATGCTATCTAAGTTGTCAATTCCCCCCCCCAATATTTGTTAAAAATTACGCGCAGCTTGTAGTGTTGTCAGAGAAAATTTTGACATGCACGTTCGTTAAATGTTTAAAGAACGTGTATATACCGATTTCGCATGACCTTAATTCAAGAACATTAATGTGCGATTTTTGTTCATCAATTGACCAATATCCTTTAGTTTCAGATTATTTGGTTTTATTATAGATGCCGAACATGGCTTTCGGTAAAGATTATAACATCAGGTTCTTTGATAATAATTGGTTTGTAGCTGTCCCTTAAATTTGTTATCCACCATTTTAATGATGGTTAAATTGCATGTGGAACTGTCATAAATCTGTCAAAGTTCCCCCTATGACGTTTCAGGTAACGGTCTTTCACTTTTTCGAGCGGTTTTATGTGAATTATTGTACCCCGGGTTCCGCGGCATTTAATTTTCCAATGAGTTTTGCAAATTTACGTATTGTTGTACGTTTAGTGTGTAACATATCAATGCAATCTTGAATTATAGTCTCTACTTTATCTCTTGTTAATCGGACCGTCAATGAAGCGCTACACAAGATGAAACCTAAGAAAACTATTGTATTGCATGGCTCGAGTACCGATTTTGAAAGACTAACTGTTAAACCTAATTTATTGATAACTGTACAGTATCTCGGACATTTTTACTCTAAACACGAACGATACGTATCTGCATGTAGCCATGAGTCATCAATAAAATATGTGCTCGTGTGACCAATTGACCGCAGGTAAGAGAAAACTGGTTTCATTAATTTTGTCCATATTCTAGGAGAGCACGAATAACCCATAACCAATGCGGAGTATTGGTACATAACGTCATTAAATAAAAACGGAAAATGTTTTCGATCAGTTTCCTTGATTTTTATAGAGTAGTAAGAATTTGCAATGTCAATTGAAGCCATAAACCCATTTTTTCGAATGTTTGTCAATGCCCATTGTAGGGATTCCATTTTAAAATGACCTTTTCTATAAATTGCTCATTGAACTTTTTAGATAAAGTATTATTCAACCGTCTTTCTTAGGACGTGTAAAAATATTTGATATAAATTCATCAAGTTCGGAAAAAGGTACTTTCTCAATGATACCATTTTCTAAGAATTTATTTATTTCCGTTTGTATTTTCGCATTCTCGTCTGCTGTAAAGAAAACGGAATAGGAATATGTTGTTGCCTAGGTATCTGTGACACTTCAATTGTACAGCCTTTAATTGTGTTTAAAATCCATTTGTCTGATGTTATAGTTTCCCACATTGATATTTTATCCGCCGTTTTCCCCGATTTAAAATTTCTACGGTCTTTTCCAGTGCTAAAATAATTCCACTTACATTTATGATTTTTTGTCTTTTTTTCATTGATCGTTGGTTTCGAAATTGATTGTAGTTGCTCTGGTTCTACCACGATCGGTGGGAGGGAAACGCTTGGTTGTACTGCTGACGGTTTTGCGCCCCTACCCTCTTGAACAAAAAAGGCTTCTTGTTTGGGACAATTGACATGAGGCTGTTTTGGATTCTTTCAATGAGTTAATATCGTCTTGAATCCTATCGCCAAACAATTTCGTTGCTGATGACTGGTTCGTGCACAGTGGTCGATATGACTCGTAAGTAAGTCCCGCTTTATTCTCTCTTTTCGTGCTTCATTTGAACTAATTACCGCCTTGGATAGAATCTCGTATGCATCACCAGTGAACTCCTTGAACTCTGGTAAAACATTTTGTTTCTTGAAAAGTTCCATCGTTTTGAGAACTGGAACTATAGCCTGGCAAAGGGACAAATGTGACCGCTGCATGGCGAAATCAAAAGATTTCGTATCGCGCTTGAATTGTCTCCACAATTGCTCGTTAACTTTCGGTATCTGGAGGTTTTCTACATTTTTCGGTCTTTAGTGTTTTGTTGTTAAACTTTTGGATTGTTCCTCCTTGGGCCTTGACCGTAGTATTTTGTTTGTTAGCTGGGCAAGTTCCGGTGAAATTTCATCACTTGTTTCCTCGCTATCGAGAAAATGGTCGTCAATATCCCACCATTCCGAACTGTCCCTCGATGGATCTCTTCCTGTTAGGTATCCAAATATGAATTCACCAGGTCTTGTTCATCCGAGGAACAATCGCTATCCCGGGAAATACGAGGCCGCTTAGCAGCACATTCTGCTGATTGGTTCGCAGGTGCGCCTGATTTTATCTCAGTGATATCCTGTTTCATAGCTTCAATTGAACTGGTCAGTGTTTGCAAAGATCGTGCAAACGTTTGCATGCTGACCTGGTTATCTAGGGGGCTAGCTGAAGTAGCAGTTCTGTTTCCCATCTGAATTAATCTCTCGTATATGTTCTGTAATAGGTCTTGGCCAACGTCACATCCGCCCTGGCCGTCTGCAAATTGAGCCTTTAATGAATTCAAAGGAAATATTACGTTTCCTTTTGTGATAAATTGCAACGTTATAATATGTGATGGTTTGCACTTGTTTATCACAAATCACTTTAGAAATGTTATGTCCATTTCAAAAAGCAAAGGAAACGTTGTAGTCGTTTCCGCAAGATATAAATATCAGCAGTGCTTGGGAAAAGTGGTATACAATTCAACAAGCCAGTTTAATTTTACTTGTGAAAAGTGGAATTCAATTCAACAAGTTCATAATTTTTATATCAGTCTAGTGTAACATGCTATGTGCTATCTTTTAAACAAAATAGTCTACATGTCGTCAAAAACGTGGTATGCATTCAAACTGAAACGACTCTTAGATAATAACTAGTATTTTAAATTCATAATCGTCTTATTATCATTACGAATTTATAGATATTATTATAACATTAAGTGCACACTTATAGTTCTCTCATTTCCATGATTGTTTAATCCTTTTTCAACAGATAGATGTTGACAAACACACACACACACACACGCACGCACGCACGCACGCACGCACACACACACACACACACGCACACGCACACGCACACACACACACACACACACACAATTCTTTTGATATATATATAAATACTTGATTATTAACACATGTGTATTCTTGTCGCTACAGCTTCGCGATGAATAAACCCTAGTCGCTGCTAGCTGCGTCCGTAATCTGTGGGGCCCATAAGGGAGTTTAATAAATGTTGGATAAAATGACAGTATTTTTGTATAACATTCAATAGAAAAAGACTGCATACTTTTTTGATTTAACTAATAACTTACAGTTAACAATGACATTGAATTCTTCTTCTGTCACAAAGTTATGACTTGGATAATGCGTTGATGTTGCTATAGCTCTACAAGTGTATTTCCCATGATCTGTTCTACCTATATCATCAAATGACAAAGTAGGACCTCTAGACGGTTGTCTTACCCAGTTTACAACTGGGTTAGGGTTACCAGTAGCAATGCATGTAGCTGACAAAGTTTGACCCTCATGTTTTGTTGTAGTATTGACTTGTTTACTTTCCACCAATATCTGAATTCTTGGAGAATCTGCATTTTATACATAGATTATGTGTCAGATTAAAACTATATGATTTATATCTGTTTAGACTGGTATATACACTAGGAGTAATTTCATTTTTACAAAACTCTGACACAAATTGAAAGTTCTGTATCCAATTTAAAACGAAAAATGATGTAAATCTTCTATATATATTTGTCCCCCGCCTTCTCGAAGAAAAAAGGGGGATATAGAAATGGGCTCCGTCCGTCTGTCCGTCTTTCCGTCCGTCCGTCTGTCCGAGCAAACATTTTGGGTTTAGGAGCTATATAACAGTAAAGAGAACAAAAGAGAACAATAGGTTCATTCCGTGATCAAAGGGTTTAGGGGCTAGTAGCTCTTAAGATAACAAAGAAAATAGCCCCTAAAGCGAAAATGTTGGAACGTCTTTCCGTGGCACTTTCGTGTCCGGTCCATAACGTTGTCATTTATTAAAGGAATCTGAAATAACTTGGCACAAATGTTTGTTATAATAGGACGACGTGACATGCGCAACAACCAGACCCCTACCTCCAGGGTCAAGGTCGCACTTGCTCAACAAAGGTCAACATTGTCTATTTGAGGGTATACGTCGTGTCCGGTCCATAACTTTTTTTAACTTTGAAGGGATTTTGTAAATACTTGCCACAATTGCTCACAATAATGAGAAGATGTGTCATGAGCAACAACCCGTCACCTACCTTCAAGGTCAGGGTCAAACTTGGAGGTCAAAGATTAACATAGTCTGTTACAGGGTATATTTCGTGTCCGGTCCATAACTTTGTCATTTATCAAAGGAATTTGAAATAACTTGGCAAAATGTTAGTTATGATAAGACGATGTGTCGTGCGCAACAACCACACCCCTACCTGCAGGGTCAAGGTTGCACTTGCTCATTCAAGGTCGACATTGCCTATTTGAGGGTATATGTCTATTTTGTGTCCGGTCCATAACTTTTTCAATTATCAAAGGATTTTAAAAATAATTGGTACAAATAGTCACTATAATAAGACGATGTGTCATGCGCAACACCTGCATTCCTACCTCCAAGGTCAAGGTCACATTTCGAGGTCAAAAAGTAACATAGTCTGTTAAAGGGTATATATTGTGTCCGATATAGAACTTCTTCATAGTTCAAAAGATTTTGAAATAACTTGGCACAAATAGTCACAATAATAGACGATATGTCAAGTACAACACCTGCACCCCTACCTCCAATGTCAAGGTCACATTTAGAAGTCAAAACTTAATAGAGTCTGTTATATAATATATTTTGTGTCCCGTCCATAACTTCTTCATAGATCAAGCGATTTTAAAAGTACTTGGCACAAACAGTCACAATGATAAGATAATATGTCATGTGTAACACCAGTGTCCCTATCTCCAAGGTCAAGGTCACATGTAAAGGTCAAAGATTTACATATTCTATTATAGGGTATATTGTGTGTCAAGTCCATAACTTTTTCATAGATCAAGGGATTTTAAAAATATTTTGCACAAATAATCACAATAATCAGACGATATGTAAGGCCCAAAACATGGGTCCCTACCTCCACTTTCACACTAAGAGGTCAAAGATTAACAGTCTGTTAGAGGGTATATTTTGTGTCCCATCTATAACTTTTTCATAGTTCAACGGATTTTGAAAATACTTGGTACAAATAGTAACAATAATAAGACAATATGTCATGCACAACACCTGGACCCCTACCTCCAGGGTCAAGGTCACACTAAGAGGTCAAAGCTTAACATTCATTTTATTTCTTATTTATTGTTGCATTTGCAGATCTAGCATTGATCATAATGTTGGACTGAAAGTCCTTAGATCCATACCTCAATCTTTTGAAATAGCACAATTTTATGCTTTATATATAATTCAGTTACAAATTCAAGTTCAGTTGGTCTTGATCCTAAGTATAATTTCATTTCTACAAAACATAAATAAAATGGATTGTATCCAATTAATAAAGAAAAATAAACAATTTTAGTTGGTCTTTATGTTGTGCAGCCGAAAAACGATGAAATTCTTTTACGAAAAATAAATAAATATGCATGTTATTTTCTTTTAAACACAAAGACGTATAAATGTAATTATTTTTCTGAAAAGGTCATATTTTCAAAACAATGTGTGAAATTTCAAATATGTTAAGTTACAAATATTATATGTTTTGATAACAGATGTTATATAGCCGGAAGATTAAATATGGCTTTTCCTCTTCGTCCAAAAAATTGTGCTAAATGTTTTTATTATATATTGCTGATAAAGTCAATTAAGCTGTCTGTACTTAATAAGTTGTTAAACCTTCTGACTGATAAAATGTTCAGGTTATGAGTATTGTTAAAAACATCATGTTGCTTTGTTACCTTATTTTGTATTGGAACCTGATTGGTCAGTTTGTTATTTAAGAGACAAAGCTGTAAAACGAAACCATTTTTAGAAATATTGTAAAAGAAAATTTTGACAGTCAGATTTTGGATTTCGAAGAGATAACACTGTGGCTTTCCACTAGAAATATTTGTTACTGTTTTTAATATCTATTTGTCAACGTCAGGATAACCTGTGCATATTTAATATATTATTTGTGGTATTCCACTGAGCAAGAAACATTAAATGATTAAACGGAACATTGTGTTTTTAAGATTCAATTCACGTACAGTAGAACTATAAAATTAGCGCATTACTAATTTCCCAGCAAACATTCTTTATCGGCCTGACATCAAACCGACATGGTTTCCTATGACGGCCCAATGTCGGATTTAACCTCGGCTGCAAATAGGAATGATGTTGGCCCGACATTGGCAGCACAATATCGGGCTGATATCTTAACGATATAGGCCCGATATCTATTGCCTACATCGGTCCAACATCAAAACAATAGCGGTTCGATGTCAGCTAACCGAAGAAAGAAATCGACCATGTATGATACTTATGCTAGCATTTTGATGGCATCTAGCAACAAACATTTGGCATAACCTTCAAAAACACAAATGAAAAATGGTTATTTACAAAATAAGATAATAAAGGCGAATATTTAACTTTAATGTGCAAATTACAATCACTACCATGATGATGCATGTCGCGAAATAGTTTGACAAATATTTTCAGACATAATTTTACATTTAAAAAGAGACATACAGATAAATTGTATTATCCAATCATTTAAATGTAAAAATACAATTATTGACAGCGTTTACACACTTGTTGAATAATAATTATATTTAAAAATAAAACATGCTTTTCATCACCTTCCTTTGTTGGCGTCCGCGCCGGAGCGCGACGCCCTTATGGAATGAAATCAGATTTTGTGAAAGGGCAATTTCAACTTCTCGGCCCTTTTCGTCGGCGATAATAGCCGATCATTCCGATTGTTATGAGGGTGTTTGATTATCAAAAATGAAATGTCGCGATATTTGCAATGAATAGCGAACTGGAAAATTTCGCAAGGTAAATATACTCAAATGAAATGATCTTATCCGTAATTCTTTATAAATCTATGGAAAACTAGAAATGTGTCCATACGACACGGGTGCCCCCACCGCGCCACTGTTCTGTCAGTCTTATCACTCTAGGTCAAATATTTTTTTGAAAACTAAAAATCTTTTACTAAGTAAAAGGCAAGAACTTTACAAATACTGAATAAATCAACAAGCAAACCCAAAGTTGAAAATTGCAAATTTATACTACTGTAAGTCAAGGGCAAAAACTCTAACAAAACAAAAAAAATCCACATGCAAAGTCCCAGGTTCATAGCTTCACAGTGATGTGAATCATTATTCCTGTAATTTAGTGATGTTGATCATTATTCCTGTAAAGTTGGTCGATTCTAACTCAAGCACTCAAGGAACAAATAACAACATTAAGAAACAGTTTTTACTAAGTCAAGGGAAATAACTCTACAAATACTGGATAAATCCACAAGCGAAACCCCAGGTGCAAAACTAAATATGCTGAGCAACCTTCCCATAAGGTTTAATGACTCTATGTCAAATCCATTTTGAGTTACATGCGACACAAGTTGAACATTGCAAAATTTTACTAAGTCAAGGGCAATAACTCTAAAAATACTCAATAAATCCAGACGAAAATACCCAGGTGCACAACTACACATGCTAATCAATATTCCTGTAAAGTTTCATGACTCTTTGTCAAATACTTTTTGAGTTACATGCGACACAGGTTGAAAATTGCAAAATTTTACTAAGTCAAGGGCAGTAACTCTAAAAATACTCAATACATCCAGACAGATACCCAGGTGCACAACTACACATGATGATCAACATTCCTGTAAAGTTTCATGACTCTAGGTCAAATACATTTTGAGTTACATGCGTCACAAGTTGAAAATTGCAAAATTTTACTAAATCAAGGGCAATAACTCTAAAAATACTAAAACTATCCAGACAAATTCCCCTAGGGCACAACTACACACTGATAAAAATTCCTGTAAATTTTATGACTCAGGTCAAATATTTTTGAGTTACATGCGAGCTTTGAAAATTGAAAAAATTTTTACTAAGTAAGGGCAAAAAACTCTAAAAATACAAAAAATATCCAGACAAATACCAGGTCCCAAAAATTTTTCACATGTGATCACTTTTGAAAATTTTCATGACTCGGGTCAAAATGTTTTTTTGGGGTTACGTGCAAAACAAAAGAGAGGACGGCCGGGGAAAAAAGGACGGCGGACCGACGAGGATGGAGGAGGGAAAGGGTAAATCCTAAATGCCCGCCACTAAAGTGGGGGCACAAAAATATGTTAGCCATTTTTACGAATTGTTATATCATAGAATTATCAATAATATATGATATGAAATTGTCTTTCCCGTAAGTTCTTTCCGGGGTTTTTTGCGGCACTGATTGCACTTATGACATTTTTACCGTGAATATGTAAATACACCTACATGTAGTTCATATCTTTAAATGTCGCTTTTACGCTTTGACTTTGTTCGACAGTCTAGCAGTAGTATAATATAAAACATATTCGCTGTTCAAATCGTTGTAAATTTTATGTGAAGGCAATCGATTTTATGGTAGCTAGGATGGAATGTTGATTTGTTGACACGAAGCTTGTCCAGGAATATTTTATTTTGACGAAATCGTCACCAAAGCGGACGGTTGTCTCGGTTGATCAGAAATTCACATTTACTGTGTTTTCTAACCATTTCAAATTAAACTTATTTTTAACATTTTTGTCACAGTCTTTGATCTTCGAAGCGTTGTTGGAGTTAGTTGCTGCCATTATTCAAAAAATATTTTTCTTGCTAATCGGCCGACATTTTGTTTTGCTTTCTTCCACTACAGAATGACGCTACAATTGGTCGGTATATTTAACACTATCGTTCATTGGCTTACTATAATAGCGACAATAACTGAACATACCTGAAAAGCGGTACGGTCTAAATATTTACGGTACAGTCTAAACATTTACAATCGGCGGACAATAGACGGTAGCAAACTCGGCGAAAGAGACCCCCCTCCCCTCCACCCCATAAAAAAAATCTCCTCGGATTTACATCGTTCTTAAAGAGGTTCAAGGACCTCGAAATCCGCGGAATCCAGAAAATTGGCATCCCTGAATAATGTCCCTTTTTCGACTTAGAATTTAGGTTAAAGATTTTGTAAAACCTCAAATATTTTCAAAGTCCATTGACATATGGCTTTGAAACTTCGCACACTTGTTCACCATCATAACCCCAACCTGTAGACAGGAGGAGATAACTGTATCAAGCATTTTGACAGCTTTTCCCCATTTTCGACTTAGAATTTACGTTAAAGTTTTTGTAATACCTCAATATTTTCAAAGTCCATTGACTTATGGCTTTGGAGTTTTTAACACTTGTTCACCATCATGACCCCACCATCATGACCCCAACCTGTAGACAGGAGGAGGTAACTGTTTCAAGCATTTGACAGAATAATGCCCCTTTTTCAACTTAGAATTTACATTTAAGTTTGCATGCCTCCTAAGATATTTTCACTGACATTGACATCTGACTTTGAAACAAATTGAAATTTTATACTCTTCTTTATGAGCATAATAGGACTCTCTTCAAGGCCTATAACATGGATTTAAAGAAAAATGTTGCCCTTGTGTTAACTTTAAAAAGCTTACATTATCGAGGTTTTTTTACTATTAAGCACTAAGAATAGTCGAGCGTTTCTGTCCTACCGACAGCTCTTGTTACGGAGGATTGTGACCTAGTGATGCGGAATTTCCAGTTTGTATCTTAGATTAAAGTTTTTGTGTAGATCTTTAAATTATGTGCAACCAAAGTAAAGTTTAACTTATATCCTTTAGTTTTTTCTAATTTCTAAGTTTTGTTATTTCAATAAGTGAAGTCGTACAATGAGGTAATATGCATAAAAACATACTTTTGCAAAAGATAATAAATAATTATTAAAGAAAATATGTAAAAAATGTTTGTAATATTTCGAAATTTCAAGCTATATAAAATTGACAGCATTGCATCTTGCCATTGAGGCTAATACGTCAAGTATTATACTAGTAATACATAAAGCGTTTAATCATACATCAGATTCGTATGGTTCACTGAGTAATCCGATTATTAACGACAAAAGGTTGCTTACTATTCAGATGTCTCCGGTCAATATGGCCAAACAATAGAACTACTTACAATCGATTAAGTCCCAGTCTATATGAATAACAGCCGGGATGCTCTGATTTATTTCGAGCATTTGTTTACACATAATTTGAACGAAACCAGAGCTGTACACTACAGAAGCAAAAATAAGAAGAATAAAAAAAAAACAAATAGGAAGACCGACCACCGTCGCCCATGTCCCACTGCTGAACGTTCGACTGCAGCTAGGAATGTGTGTGTATTTGCGTTTATCTATACTCGCCACCGGTTGCCTATATGGGCGAATTCCTTTAGATTTTGGAGGAAAGTGCAATTACAGATACAGAAAGACGCCCCGATTCCAGAACTTTCCTGGTTTTCTTTGCATATTTAGAGTATCAATAAATAAATTACTTTTACCGTTTTTTTTTTAAATCAATTTCTGCAAAAAGTATTTTCAATTGATCGTTCTTTACAAAAAAAAAAAAAACGAATTCATAATATTTTTCCAATTTAGCACAGGGCTAGTTATTTCAGCATTTTAAGATTATGTTTTTTTGTGGTTATCATTAAAGGATGATATAATAAAAGTACGCATTGACTCAATCTAGCTAGTCAAACATAAATTGTAGTTATTAAAACAAACATCTATGTATTGGTTTTAAATCAATACCAAAAAAGTCATGAAAACATTCTTACATTCTACTTGTAATAGAAGTTGTTTAGACTGGATCTGAAGACTTTTCCTCTGTGTATATAAATTCTTCAACTGACATTTTACAGGACTTCTATCAACTTGATACGTAAGGTTAGGTAACGTTAGTTTCCTTGTATCAGCACTATCAGGTGTTCCATATTGTGCGGTCCATGTCGCTGTAGCTAAAGGATTTCCATAGTCAGATGAGGTACAATAAATACTCTTTCCTGTCTGACCTTCTAGAAATGGAAAACTATCGTTCATAATTCGAGGCTGTGACGGAGGCCCTACAAATATGAAAAATAACACATTGAAAAATGCGATGTTAATAGTTCTACAGCATTATAATGACCTATTCAAGGATCATATACTTTTAACATCAGAACAAAGTACATTATTATAATCTTCAAGTAAGCATTGTTTAATTTTTTCATTTTAAGTGAAAAATTTTTATTTAAAATTTTTTATTGTATTGAATAAGCCCAAAAAATAAAAATTATTTTAATAACCCTAAGGGTGCTAAAAACTTTTTATTAAATGGAAAAAAAAATGAAAAAATTTTTAAAACATTGTATTGGTAATTAACGTGGGGACAGTAATGAAACATCTAAATGTGCTCATGCAAACAACAATTAACCAATGTAAAACAAACAAAAAAATACACATTGACAAAGTTAACCTACATAATGGTTTACCGTGAGTGAAAAAACAAATTAAATTAGATTTGCATGACAAAAGCATGATAGTCATGAGTGACACGCTATAATAAATATAATGAAAGTAAATATTTGTAAACACAGGTTAAATCAGTCAATATAGTGTTGATTGGCAGACATACCCGTATGTTTACATACGCTATATAGTATAAGTCTGATTTTATTGACCTGTCAATTATGAATACATTATAGCACTCATTTAAATATTCGATCCTACTTCGGTCTTGTCCGTTTATTTTACGAGAATTAATATGGAGTATATAGCTAACGTTTAGAAAACTCCCACTACCTTAATGTAGGTTCTCGTAACATCCGCAATAGCAAAGTCGGTTAAGTGATTACCTAATGTATGAGAGGTCCGAGGTACGATCCCTTTTATTAACATTTTATTAGACGTCACTTATTTTAAAACTTACTTTTTCTTTATATTTAAGTATATTAAAATGAAAATGGTCAAGCCCTTTCAGAATTTTCTACACAGATCTATATAAACAATTAATAAACACTGAATTGTCACGTTTTCTATTGTATTTTACGGCACTGAAATGACATTTATTTATCCTAATCCGAATGAATTTTGAAAATTAATTCTTAAACAATGTTATATACAAAAGTATAGTATTAACAAAAAAGTGCAAAACCTATTAAAACAGAAAGAACAACATCTTGAAAATGGTTATGGATAAGAAAAAATGCCTGGACATACGCTGTCTCGATCTTACAACACGTAGGGCATTTAGAAATTATATATCCGTAGTTTACCCTACAGCGCTATAACGGTCAGTGTAACTAATGCATAGAAACCAGACTAATTTAATCATATCTTACTGCTTAAATCTCCAGAATTTACCTAACATTTATCGAATATTAATATATTTTGTGCATTGACCGTATAATCAGTATGGAATTGACAGGTTAATAAAATCAAACAATACAACTGTTATTATCAATGTCCTTGGCGCACGGGAAACACGATTTTTCCTTTCGAGGATGTATTAGTTTTGCTGTTCCAATCTTGTAAGAATTGATCAATTAGTGTTTTATTAATTAGGATATGTATATTTTGTAAATCTAAAATTTTTTGATGGTTCCAAATAAAAGTATTTCTCGTTAGATCTTATATATTCTTTACATAGTTTATCCATTTGAAGTTTGAAACTGAAAGTAACATATTTTCGTAGCATATTCTTGTTAGTTTTGAGTCACCACTTCTTAAAAGTTTGACCCAATACTTTATTTAAGATATCTAACGGATGGCGGCTTAACTCACCGTATAACATATAAATGGATGTACTTTTTGAATTAGTTATTTTTCTTAGAAAATCTGTATGAACCCCTTCTATAATACTATGATTTCCAAAGCCCAACGATTCACAGTGATATGTTAAAATTTACTAGATAGTTTGATCAAAAAGTTTCAGTTAAATATCTATTGGTAGGTCTAAGATACAATTTTTGCGTATAGAGCATGCATTACTTTATTTGCTAGTCCAACTAGATGTTTTTTTGCATTGATGAAGCTTCACGAAGAGTAAAATAGTTAACCTAAGTACTTGTATTTTTTACCGTTTCAATAGGATTATTGTTCAATGTAAAAGAGAAATGTTCGGGGCGATTCGAACCAAATACGAAAACTTTAACTCATGTTAATTTGCAGTTTTCACTTAGAACAGTAGTTATAAATATCTTTAAGCATATTCTGAAATGAGACAGGATTGTCACTGATGATATCTGTATCGTCTGCATAAAGAAGAACAAAATGTTTTAGATATATTTCTGTGTCAATGTGGGGTTGATTGGATTCCAAACCTGGGTTTTCTTTCTTCTAAGTAAGACTCTAGATCGTTCAAATAAATTGAAATAAAGTTTCCTTTTAAAAGGAAAGGCTTGAACAGTTGTGACCTCATCCCAACCCTTTAAAATTGTTTTTTTTTGTTTCAATTTATTATCACATTTTTTTTGAATTACGGTATTTGTATATCATAAAGGGTTTATTTAGTTGGTTTTTTTATTTTATTTATTTTTTTTTTTGGAAAAACGAATATTTTTTGTCAAAACGATTTGAAATCTATTCTCTATTGTAATAAAACTAATAAAGAAAATAATCAATCGTAAAAATACTAAACATGGAGATCTATCTATTCATAACTGAAGGGAAAAACAAGTTGTGACATTTTCATTTTTCCACTCTTTTTTCGAGAGAAATCAAATTCGTTTTGGCAGTTGCTAATTTCAATGCAAATATAGGCAGCTTTTTTAGCTTTATAGGCAAGTAAATTGCACTAAAATACTTTCGTTTAACGTGGTACCCCAATTAATAAGCATGTATCAACTATATTAAAACGGCCACAGCACGTTTGGCAAGGTTTTAATGATATGCAATTTGGGCTATTTTTTAGATTTACCTCACCAAGGGACGGGTTGAAAATTGCGTTCAGTAGATTAAATATAACTCGAGGCATGCCACTTAATATTCTGTGTGATTTTTTGGTAAGGCAGGAAACCACCCTTTGAAAGACGGGAATACTAACTTACAGTCCCCATGTCCGTTAATTTTTACTGTTTACAGACATCATATTAATATAAATGACAAGTCAACATGTATAAACATATATTAAGGTTTTTATTTCATAATGTGAACTATGGAACATGACTTTGATTTTATGAATATTATAGTACAAGATACATGCAGACTGAGCTTATGTCAAAAATGATTAATGAGAGTTCTACATGTAACTCTTAAACGCGTGTGTATTTATATACATTATAAAATGTCATTATGACAGGTTGTCATTATATATACTATTCTCAAATGTCCAGTTAGGGAGTTCGAATTTGGTATTTCACTTGTACACTTGTGTATTTGTATATTAAAAGTATGTAACATCTGCGAGTTCTTCTCTCTCCGTTATACGACAACGGTTGATTCGGCGCCTAAGACACCAGCGATGTCGAAGCGACGATTTTGGACAAGGCGGGAAAAACCCCC